AGGCATGTGCCTGATATGCGCCTACACTTAATCTCTACAGGTACTCTTGATGAAGAAGGCTATCACAATTACTTTGGAGATGGTAAATGGAAGCTCTCCAGAAATTCCCTGATTGTTGCTAAAGGGAAGAAAATGGGTCTCTACATGTCACAAGCCAAGGTGATCAAAGGGGAGGTGAATGCAATTGAAGATTGCTCTACTGATCTGTGGCATAAGCGGCTTGGACATTTAAGTGAGAAAGGCCTTGGCATCCTTGCCAAGAAGAACTACCTTCCATTAAAAGGTATGAACTTGAACACATGTACTCATTGTTTAGTTGGCAAACAACACAGAGTTGCATTTCAAAGATCACCTTCACATAGAAGATCACATGTTCTTGATTTAGTTCATACTGATGTTTGCTCTATGATTGACAAGTCTCTTGGGGGTGCATTGTACTTTGTTAGTTTTATTGATGATCACTCCAGGAAAATTTGGGCCACTTGTTTAAAATCCAAAGATCAGGTGCTTGATGTCTTTAAGGATTTCCATGCCAGAGTTGAAAGAGAAACTGGTAGAAAGCTCAAATGTGTTCGAGCTGACAATGGTGGTGAATACAAGGGTCCTTTTGAGAAGTACTGCAGGGAACATGGTATCAAGTTGGAGAAGACAGTTCCTAAGACTCCACAGCAGAATGGAGTGGCTGAGAGAATGAACAGAACCATTGTTGAAAGAATTAGATGTATGCTCTCTCATGCAAAGCTGCCTAAGTCTTTTTGGGGTGAGGCAATGAAGACTGCAGTTGCAATGATCAACCTTTCTCCATCAGTTCCTCTTGAATTTGATGTTCCAGATAGAGTTTGGAAAGGAAAAGATGTCTCTTATGCACACTTAAGAGTGTTTGGATGCAGGGCATTTGTACATGTTCCTAGAGATGAAAGGTCTAAGCTTGACAGCAAGACAAAGCAGTGCATTTTCTTGGGCTCTGAAGATGATGAGTTTGGCTATCGGTTATGGGATCCAAAGGAGAAGAAAATTGTGAGAAGTAGAGATGTTATCTTCTTTGAAGATCAAACCATTGAAGACTTTGAACAAAAGGAGAAAACAGAGTTTACTATTTTTATTCCAACTAATTCAAATCCAAGACCTACTCCACAGTTACCTTTAATGCCTGCTAATCATGGGGGAGACTTGCAAAATGATGATGGTGGTGGTTCTCTTATTGAGCCATTAGTTGGTGATCCTGAAGCAACTAATGATGATGTTGATGTTATTCCTAAACAGGTTATGCAGGAAGCTTTAGATGAGCCACAATTGAGAAGGTCAGCTAGACCTCGCCAACCTTCCACCAGATATTCTCCTCATGAGTATGTGTTGGTCACTGATGGGGGAGAGCCAGAATGCTTTGATGAAGCTATGTCACATGAGAAGAAAAGTGAGTGGTTGAAAGCAATGCAAGAAGAGATGAAATCCTTGCATGAAAACCATACCTTTGAGTTAGTGAAGCTTCCTAAAGGTAAGAGAGCACTCAAGAACAAATGGGTGTTCAGGTTGAAAATTGATGAACATTGCTCACAGCCAAGGTACAAGGCAAGATTGGTTGTGAAAGGCTTCGGACAGAAGAAAGGTATTGATTTTGAAGAAATCTTTTCACCAGTGGTCAAGATGTCTTCAATCCGAGTTGTGCTTGGCTTAGCTGCTAGTTTGAATCTTGAAGTAGAACAACTTGATGTGAAAACTGCCTTTCTCCATGGTGATTTGGATGAGGAGATCTACATGGAGCAGCCTGAAGGTTTTGAAGCAAAAGGTAAAGAGCAGCTAGTTTGTAAGTTGAAAAGGAGCTTATATGGGTTAAAGCAAGCTCCAAGACAATGGTATAAGAAGTTTGATTCTTTTATGGTGGATCATGGTTATGACAGGACCACTTCTGATCATTGTGTATTTATGAAAAGGTTTCCAGATGGAAACTTTATTATTCTCTTGTTGTATGTGGATGATATGTTGATTGTTGGCCATGATGCTAAGAAGATTCAGATGTTGAAGGAAGAGTTGAGCAAGTCTTTTGCAATGAAAGACTTGGGACCAGCAAAACAGATTCTTGGTATGAAGATCACACGTGACAGGAAGAAGGGAAAACTTTGGCTATCTCAAGAGAGATATGTTCAAAAGGTACTTGAGAGATTCAACATGAGCAACTCCAAACCTGTTTGTTCTCCACTTGCAAGCCACTTTAAACTAAGTTCTAAGCAGTGTCCTTCAAGTGATGAAGAAAAAGATGAGATGAAAAAGGTTCCTTATGCATCCGCAGTTGGTAGCTTGATGTATGCCATGGTTTGCACAAGGCCGGATATAGCTCATGCAGTTGGTGTGGTTAGTCGGTTCCTCTCCAATCCTGGTAAAGAACACTGGTCAGCAGTGAAATGGATACTCAGGTATCTCAAAGGTACTTCTAGTTTTGGTTTATGTTTTGGTAATGATAAACCTATGTTGGATGGATACACAGATGCAGATATGGCTGGTGATGTTGATTCTAGAAAGTCCACATCAGGATACTTGATGAAGTTTGCAGGGGGAGCAGTCTCATGGCAATCAAGGTTGCAAAAATGTGTTGCATTATCCACTACAGAGGCCGAATATATTGCTCTTACTGAAGGGGGCAAAGAGTTGTTATGGATGAAGAAGTTCTTGCATGAACTTGGCTTAGTTCAAGAGAACATTGTATTGCACTGTGATAATCAAAGTGCAATCCATCTCAGTAAGCATCCTACTTTTCACTCTCGATCAAAGCACATTGAGGTTAGATATCAATGGATTCGAGATGCTATGGAGATGAAGTCATTCGTTGTTGAGAAGATCCATACTGATGACAACGTGTCTAACATGATGACCAAACCTCTACCGAGAGAGAAGTTTGAGTTTTGCAGAAAGGAAGCAGGCTTGTTAGAGCCTCCTAAATTGAATTTTACATATTGATCGCCGGTATGGCGAATTCCTCACATGGTGTGTGAGGGGGAGATTTGTTGTGTATGGTCCCACACCATGTGATAGTGGGACCACCACATTTAATGAGAAGAGAGGCAGCTGACCACTTTAAAATTAAGTGGTTCGGTTACTGTAGCACAAGATTTGAAAAGAGAAGAGAGGAGAAGAAAATCAAGAGAGAAAAAGACAAGAAAAGGCAGCAGAGCAGCCTTCATTCTTTCTTCGATTTCCAGCTCGTTCACCGTTGGATCGAGCTGAGATTTTGACAGCAGCTTCCAGACACGTTGATCTTCATTCTGAACGGTTGGATCGAAGATTGGTGGTGTGGAAGCTGTTGATCTTCATTCTGAACGGTTGGATCGAAGATTGGTGGTGTGTAAGCTGACCGTTTTGACAGAAAATGGGGCTGTCAGTTTTGTGAGTTTTTCTCAAATAATTCTCCTTTAATCTTGTTGTAATCCGAGAATAAGTTGTTCTTGATGATATATATGTTGTATCCCTTAGTTGAATCTGAGGAAGAATGATTGTGAACCCATTATTTGTTGATAGTGGAAGTTTTTAGGTGGACTACGGTCCCGGGGTTTTTCCCGCATCGGGTTTTCCACGTTAAAAATCTTGGTGTTGATTTTGTGATTATTTGCATTATTTTTCATCATTGTTTGATTCTGTTTTACTGCACAAAGAGGGAAAGAATTGGGACTTGTGAATTGTAATTGTATTCCGTTGAATTGATCCGGGTAAATTGGTGTCCGGTTGTTCCGAATTTTCCCAACATATCCTTGGTGCGGAGCTTTCCCAGAATTGCCAGCCATAGAATGAAACTGTATCTTGGCATAGACCAAGGCTCCCATACAAATTTTCTCCAATGCATGGGGTTGCTACGAGGACGCAAAAAATCATATGCTTTGGCTGTGAACAACCCAGGAGAATTGCTCCAATTTTCCAACAAAGATAGAACATGTGCCTCACTGCCGCCCATCGCAACAAGCTTATCCCAAAAATGAATAATAGATTTCCATAAAGGAGAAGAACTTGGGTGAGTTGTAATGTCCCAAAAGGAATAAGGGTGTATATAGTAATGATGAACCCACTGGATCCATATAGAATCAACCTTGAGATGAATATTCCAGATATGCTTAGATAAGAAACTATTATTGCGTGCTCTAAGGTCAAAAAAACCGAGGCCTCCTTCATCCTTTGGAAGACAAACCATACGCTAAGAAACAAGTGCAGACTTGTTCCTAGAAACTGTACCAGTCCCTAAAAAGTTGCGGCAAAGACAAATAATTTGCTTGATGACTTTTTGTCAGGAACCGAAAAGATGGTCAACTAGAATTGAATGATACCATATAATATAGCTTTGAGAAGCTCCAATCTGCCAGTGTAACTAAGGTGCTTCCCTAGCCAACCTTGGATAGCTGAGTCAAGCTTATGGAGGAGATGAGAGAATTGACTGGCTAGGAGTCTGTGTGGGCTAAGGGGAACACCAAGGTATCGAAAAGGAAATGCCCCTTCAGCAAAGCCCATGTCTGAAAGGATGAGCTGCTTGATATTATTCAAAACTCCACCAAAAAAGATGGAAGATTTGCATGCATTTATGTCTAGCCCTGAAGTCTTCCCAAAAATAGTTAATTGCTAGAATAGGGAAGAAACTGATGAACGATTGCCCCTTGAGAGAAGAATAACATCATCAGCAAAAGTAAGGTGACAAATGCCCAACAAGTCACACTTAGGATGGAAGCGGAAACTAGAAGAAAGAGAAGTCACATGAAGCATCCTAGAAAGATATTCCATGCAAACAATGAATAGGTAAGGGGATAAGGGATCTCCCTGTCAGACACTATTCTTTCTCGAGAAAACTGATAAATACTACCGTTAACAGCGACTGAATAAGAGGCTGTTTCAACACATTGCATTATTAAGTGAACAAATCGGTTAGGAAACCCAAGCAACAATAAGAGCTGACGAAGAAAAGGCCATTAAACCGAATCAAAGGCTTTCTTGAAATCAATCTTCATTAAGCATCGAGGAGAAGTTCTTTTCCTTTCGTAGTTCCTGAGCAGCTCTTGGAGAAGATGAATATTGTTTACCATCAACCGACCACCTAAAAAGGCATTTTGTATTGGACTGATGATATTCAAGAGAGCATGAGATAATCTCCCAGTGAGAATCTTAGCAATCACTTTATATATGACATTATAGCAAGAGATGAGCCGAAAGTCTGAGGAAGATGTAGTGTGGGCTGATTTAGGAACAAGAGCAATGATGGAGTGATTAATCTGCTTGAGTAGGGCACCTGAGATGAAAAAATCCTGCACAGCAGCACAGAAATCCTCCCCAATCAAATGCCAGGCTTTTTTGAAGAAACCAGAAGAGAAACCATCAGGGCCAGGAGCTTTAGCATCATCAATAGCGAATAACACATGCTTGATATCCAAATCAGAAACTGGAGCAAGAAGAGAAGCATGTGAGGAGTCTTCCAATATCGGGCCATGTTGAACAATAATAGGATCAATGGGAAGAGTTTGCTTTGGAGTGCCAAGAAGCTGCTTATAAAAGTCCATGAAAACAGCCCCAACCTCATTAGTACAAGTAGTAAAAGTGCCATCATGCCGCTGAATGGCAGGAATAGAATTTTGCCAATGCTTCCGGTTCATTAGAGCATGAAAGAAAGAAGTGCCTTTATCACACTTTTTGAGAAAGTTGCATTTAAGCTTTTGAGAAAAGAAGAGTCTTTCTGCTTCTTTGAGGTGAAGGAGATCTTGATGAAGATGCTGGTCAAGAGCATGAAGCTGGGCATTGTCACGATCCTGAGATAAAAGAGTTTTGTGAGCATCAGGGGCAACTTCAGCACGAGCAACCCTTTCAAAAATGTGACTGTAATGCAGCTTATTAAGAGCCTTAAGGGGCCCCTTGAGATGCTTGAGACGCTTACAAAGGGTGAACATGGGGGAACAATGAACAGTATGATTCCATTGATCGGCAACCAACTCAAGGAAGCCAGCATGATTTGTCCACATATTAAAGAATTTGAAATCTGTCGGCCGAGAAAGGAAGGATACGTGGCAGAAGAGTGATTAGAAAAGGCCTCTGGGTTATCGAAATGAACATGGATGGAAACATTCGCAATAGACCATAGGGGGTTGGCAAGGACTCGGTCCAATTTGCTCCAAACCCTGCCATTGGACCATGTGTAATGACATCCAGAGTAATTAAGATCAGTTAGTCCAAGTTTCGAGCAACACTGTCTGAAATCAGTAGTCTCATCATTGGACACCGAATCTCCATAGTGCTTGTCAGCTTGAGAAAGAAGAGAGTTGAAATCTCCAAGTATAAGCCAAGGGGAATTGGGACTCTAGTTTGTCAAATCATCCCAAAGAGTTCTCTTAGCTATAACAGTGTTGAAACCATAAACAAAGGAAGCATAAAAACTGAACCGATGAACCAAGCTAGTAATGAGAATATGAAGGCCTTGGGCCGAAAAACCAAGTAGGTCAACATTGATTGTTGTAGGATTCCAGAAAACAACAATTCTAGCTGTTGGGGCTACAGGCGCATTGGAAAAGAATTTCCATTTTTTCAACCTGAAGTGCTGCATCAAAGACACTTTAGACAAAACCAATTTAGTCTCTAGGAGACCACAGACATCTATTTTTTTTCTTTTTCATGAGGTTGGCGACCTCATGCTATTTTAGATGGTTATTTAACCCTTTGACATTCCAACATTGAATTATCATGAGGGGGGGCGGGTGACAGACAACCCCTTGCCTCGACCAGGATCACCACCTAGGTGCTGCTAAGGCTTTCGCATTATGGTTAATTCATTAGACCTAGATGAGAGATGATCAATTACATCTGAATTACCACACAAATTGCCTTTGTCACCCTAGCGGCCAACAAACACTGTAGGAGATGAAGAATAACATGGCAGCCTTCTGAAGGAGGAGGAGAAAGCATGCTAGTCCTGTGAGTAATAGGAGAATTCCTTTGAATCTCAGCTGACACAGAATGAGTTGGCCCTAAAGAATTCTTTAGGGGGGGAAGACTTATGCCTATCTCTTTTACTCCTGGTGAGCTCCCAATCTCCTGAGCTAGGCATAATATGACCATTTTCAGATATAGGCTCTATCACAACCGAAGCTATATTAGGTCCACAATTAACAGGCGAGGCAACTTATGAACAATCAGCTGCAAATGTGCCGCCTACAGGTTCCAATCGGTTAAAGACACTATCCTTAGCTTTGGCAACTTTGAGAGATGATGATTTAGTGCATGTTGAGGTAAGGTGGCCAAGAATTCTACAGTGCTTACAAAATCGTGGTAGAGTCTCATAGACAACTTCCTGGTGTAGTATGCTGCCATTAGGTAATTTAACATCAATGGAGGAGGGCAAGTCAGATAATAAGTTAATTTCCACCAACACCCTAGCATATGATAGTCTAGCCATGGAAGCAGTTAGCATATCACTTTGAATAGGCTTGCTGACACTGGCAATTTTAGAAAGACATTTGATGGACCAACATTTTAGTGGGAGATTGGGAAATTTAACCCAAATTGAAACAGTATGCATATCAGAAGAAGAGAAATCAAAATATTCCAGTATGGCTTTGAGAATAAAAGGTCTGCCATATACAATTTGTCAGTTTCATTGGCAAATTTAAAGATCAGCCATCCAGATTCGTGAATAGTCAAGGATGCTTCACAACGCCAGGTATTAACAATAAGACTCTACAAGGCTTTATAGCCAGGGGAATGGCCAACAATATAACCAACCAGACTCATCTTCCACAAGTCACATTTAGAGTCAAGATCACCGTCAACCAAATCGCAACCTTTAGTTTCAGTAAAAACAGAATAATGAATGAGTTTGGGACAACTCACAATGTTACGATTGGTAACGAAGAGATTATGCCAAGGATTAATAGGAGAATCGGAGGATTAAGGAGCTCCTCTAGCTACATTATCCAAAGGTATAGGGGTGAAAGACTAATCGAACCGTCTAGTAGCTGGTTCCCTCCGAAGTTTCCCTCAAGATAGTTGGAGCTCAGTGTGAGTTCTATTAGGTAAAGCCAATGATTAGAGGCATCGGGGGCGCAATGCCCTCGACCTATTCTCAAACTTTAAATAGGTAGGACAGTGCGGCTGCTTCGTTAAGCTGCACCATGGAATTGAGAGCTCCAAGTGGACCATTTTTGGTAAGGAGAACTGGCGATGCGGGATGAACCGGAAGCCGGGTTATGGTGCCCAACTGCACGCTAACCTAGAACCCATAAAGGGTGTTGGTCGATTAAGATAGCAGGACTGTGGTCATGGAAGTCAAGATCCGCTAAGGAGTGTGTAACAACTCACCTACCGAATCAACTAGCCCCTAAAATGGATGGCACTGAAATGCACGACCTATACCCGATCGTTGAGGCAAACACCAGGCCCCGATGAGTAGGAGGGCACGACGGTTGTCGCAGAACCTGGGGCGCGAGCTTGGGCAGAGTGGCCGTCGGTGTAGATCTTGGTGGTAGTAGCAAACATTCAAATGAGAACTTTAAAGGCCGAAGAGGGGAAAGGTTCCATGTGAACGACACTTGTACATGGGTGAGTCGATCCTAAGAGACAGGGGAAGCCCGTCCAACAGCCTGTTCGCGCACGAGCTTCGAAAGGGAATCAGGTTAAAATTCTTGAACCGGGACGTGACGACTAACAACAATGTTAGGAAGTCCAAAGATGTCAGCAGGGGCCTCGAGAAGAGTTATCTTTTCTGTTTAACAGCCCGCCCACCTTGGAAACGACTTAGTCGGAGGTAGGGTCCAGCAGCTGGAAGACCACCACACATCGTGTGGTGTTTGGTGCGCCCCCGATGGCCCTTGAAAATCCGAAGGACCGAGTGCCTCCCACTCCCGGTCATACTCATAACCGCATCAGGTCTCCAAGGTGAACAACCTCTGGTCGATGGAACAATGTAGCCAAGGGAAGTCAGCAAAATGGATTCGTAACCTCGGGAAAAGGATTGGCTCTGAGGGTTGGGCTTAGGGGACCAATCCCGAACCCGTCGGCTGTCAGTGGACTGCTTGAGCTGCTCCCGTGGTGAGAGCGGGTCGTCGCGTGCCAGCTAGGGGACGGACTAGGAACAGCCCCTCTAGGGGCCTTCCCCGAGCATCGAATAGTCGACTCAGAACTGGTACGGACAAGGGGAATCTGACTGTTTAATCAGCGCTCTGAATGTTAAAGTGAAGAAATTCAACCAAGCGCGGGTAAACGACGGGAGTAACTATGACTTTCTTAAGGTAGCCAAATGCTTCGTCATCTAATTAGTGACGTACATGAATGGATTAACAAGATTCCCACTGTCCCTATCTACTATCCAGCGAAACCACAGCCAAGGGAACGAGCTTGGCGGAATCAGCGAGGAAAGAAGACCCTATTGAGCTTGACTTGAGAGGTGTAGGATAAGTGGGAGCTTTGGCGAAGGTGAAATACCACTACTTTTAATATTATTTTACTTATTCCATGAATCGGAGGCGGGGCGCTGCCCCTCTTTTTGGACCCAAGGTCGCTCCGGCAGCCGATCCGAGTGGAAGACATTATCATGTGGGGAGTTTGGCTGGGGTGGCACATCTATTAAAAGATAACGCAAGTGTCCTAAGATAAGCTCAATGAGAACAGAAATCTCGTGTGGAACAAAAGGGTAAAAACTCGTTTAATTTTGATATCCAGTACGAATACGAACTGTGAAAGCATGGCCTATCGATCCTTTAGACCTTCAGAATTTGAAGCTAGAGGTGTCAGAAAAGTTACCACAAGGATAACTGGCTTGTGGCAACCAAACGTTCATAGCGATGTTGCTTTTTAATCCTTCGATGTCGGCTATTCCTATCATTGTGAAGCAGAATTCACCAAGTGTTGGATTGTTCACCCACCAATAGGGAATGTGAGCTGGGTTTAAACCGTCGTGAGATAGGTTAGTTTTACCCTACTGATGACAGTGTCGCAATAATAATCCAACCTAGTACGAGAGGAACCGTTGATTCACACAATTGGTAATCGTGCTTGGTTGAAAAGCCAGCGGCACAAAGCTACCATGCGTTAGATTATGACTGAACGCCTCTAAGTCAGAATCCAGGCTAGATGCGACGCATGCGCTCGCTGTCTGATTGCCGACCTATAGTAGGGGCCTCTCGGCCCTGGAGGCACGTGCCGTTGGCCAAGCCTTAGTAGTGAAAGAGCTGCGTGGGCCGCCTTGAAGTACAATTCCCACCAAGCGGCGGGTAGAATCCTTTGCAGTAAGATTCAACCCTATGTTGCTCCAATTTTTTTCCCCCGAGCCCCTCTAGGGGCACGGCGTCGTAGAGGTTGGATTGTGATTGGGTAGCGTTCCTGGGATCTCGGGACTAGATGGTCCAGGCTTGACGAGGAAGGCAATTGGTCCTAACACTAGGGCGGTGGCAGCCACACCACCGGTTGGAAGAATCGACAGCGCCGATTGTTTGACAAAACAGTGGTGGTTTAGACACGGCAGGCAATGTTGGAATCGACAACGCCAAAGAAATCAGCAAAGTTGACAAAAGCAGCAGCAAGTGTTGATGATGAGTCTGGACAGCCTAAGGCTTGATGAAGAAGAGAGCTGATCCGGACGCTAGGCGATGGTCGCCATGCCACTAGTTGGAAAAATCGGCAGCATAGATTTGTGCAACTATAGGCCCGCTGGATTAGCAGCTCAGATTTGTGCACCTGTGACACGACTAAAAGATTGATGTCTTCTCCCAAGTGCAAGAGTGTCGAAGTAATAAATAACCCGGCAAGACCGGGGTCGAACCATAAAGAGGTTAATTGTACAAATTATAAACAACGATTATAAAACAACAATAATAGTAACAACAATAACAACAACAACAATATTGGTAGCAATAATAATAATAATAATAATAGTAGTAGTAGTAGTAGTAGTAGTTGTAATACTAATAATAATAATACTAATAATAAAGAAAAGAAGGAGAAGAAGAAGAAGATGATGAAAACTTCAAGATGGAATATTAATGTAAAGATTAAATAATAATAATAACAAATGTCAAGGTTAGAGGTTCCACTAATGGTATGTCAAACAAGTATAGTATAAACTCTTATTATTCAATTGGAAACCACACACAAAGGAGGTTCCAATCTAATTATAGATTGTTAACATGATTACATTAGTCATCTTATTCGATTAATGCTAATACTTGTAAATCTCGTCAAGCATTCATGATTATAACTTATGTTAACAACAAATCAAGTTCCTTTCATAGCTCAGGTGTCGGTTATACCATACAGTATGGGCTATGAGAGTGCCAAGTATTTGTTGTACCAAGTGTTATACAACATAAATCAAGATTAGTCATTTCATATGCAAAGTATTAAAGAGTGAACAAGATAACAAATACAAAACATGTTAGTATCAAACATTAAAGTCCATATTAAGTTTACACTATACTTATTCTTACACCATTAGTGTAGCCTTTTCACCTTGACATAATAAACTTAGCTAGACATAATGAAAGAAAGAAAAATAAATGATAAAAACATAAATAAGATAAAAGTTAACTAAGAAAATGAAAGGAAATGAAAGACATAAACTGATATTAATGAAAGCAAAGCATAAGCAATAAAAAAATACAAAGAGAGAAAGGAAGAGCATGATCTTGATCTGGAAACCAAGATGCCTAAATGCATGGCAAATGCCTCCTTTTATAGGCAAAAATTGGGAACTATAGATTTGATGACTAATTGATGAGTGAGTGGCCAACTCTTGACTTGGTGACAATCCTTATCTTCTCTTGTCTGCCCGAAACGTCATTGATAACATCAAAATTGGAGTCACTCAAAAACATGAAAGTTGTAGGAAATTGTCTCATCTTTCTTGTGTAAAACATTCAACTCATTTGGACTTCTAGAACTCCAGATATGGCGAAAATACTGAACAGTGCTCGGGTTGGAGGACAGATTCGGGCTTCTTTGTTGTTGCTACAATTTGGACTTGAAAATGACCTTTTTAGATCTTGGGCTCCATATGCAAGTTGTAGACCTATGTCTTACCTTTCCATCCATATAAAGTAGACCTAAATCTGAGATCTATAGCTCCAGATATGAATCAATTACCGAATAGTATTGCGGTTTGGATTGCACCGACATCTCTTTTCTAATTTTGGTCATCTTTTTGCCCTTGCAATTTAAGTTCTAAAAGTCATCAATCAATCCTTTCATTTATGTGATAGGCCTGCATTTAAAATGAATATTTACCACAAATTAAAGGTATCTTATATTATTAGATATATTATTACAAAACATGTTTTAGTTAAAGAGTTATTGATACTTCAAGTGCAAAATGATGATATAAAACCATGATAAAATGCACTTTTAAGTACTAATCACATCCCCCAACTAGCTTATTACTAGTCCCTAGTAATCAAAGCGTTAAAATAGAAAAACAATTTGCAAATTCCACAAAGCAAGGTATTCATCATTTAACTTCCATTAATCTATCCAGATAAACAAACTCTCGGTAAATTTATATACCTGCTCAATACCTCTTAACAAGATATTCATAAACCTTTCTTTTGTTCTCAATGTATCAACACATAATTATGGGGCTTTTCTTGGAAGAAAACAAAATTTTTGTTCTAATGTTTAAGGTTAACTTCCTTGGTTGGGATTATTATTTTTGTTTTTTTTTTCCTTTTGTTTTAAATATATATACATATAATTTAAAAACACCATGCATCTTTAACCTATGTAACGAGCTTTCGGCTAATGACTCCCAGACTAGTTGCTCTTAGGGCATTAGGTGTTAAGACACCCCTACGAGCTTAGTAACTCAGGTCGCAGATACTAATATGTAGATAGTGCAATGTTTGATTTCCTTAAGCTTTTCTCCTCAACCCATGTAACAAGCGTTGGGCCAATAGCTCCCGAGTCAGTTGACTTTAGGGTATTAGGTGTTAAAACACCCCTTCAGGCTTAATTGCTTAGGTTAGGGAGGCTACGAAACCAAACTTATCTACATTTTTATTCTTATCATTTTTTTTTCTTCTTTTTTATTTTCTTTTTTATTTTCTTTTTCCTTTTTTTTTAATTATATACAATCCCTTTCCCTTAGTTGTTACCTTTAACAAAAGATCATAAATAACGTAATAATCTAATGTGCAACCCACAATCATATGTTAAAGTGTGTGTATGGAAATTAAGGTTTAAGAATACATGTTAAATAAGTATATGAGCAGAATTAAGTGATAACAATGCGAGAGTTTGTCAACCTGAATATTTCAAGAAGTATTATAATAGACCTTGTTAAGAATGGTTACTAAGATGCGTCTCAAGAGTCACTTTAACAAAAGAGCTCCTTTACTTTGTCATCCTAGTAACAACAATTATGCACATGCTTTATGAAATGAAAAACAATTTTTTTTTTATCAACTACTACCCTCTCCCCCCAACCAAAACGAGACATTGTCCTCAATGTTTAAAGGTAGAAAGATAGAGTAGAGAAGATATCACCTGAAATAACGAACACTAACAAACCTGAAACACACTGAAACAAAAATAAGAAATAACAAAACACAATAATAAAACCAAAAGACATAAAAATTCACAAATGAAGGCTCAAATCCAATCTAAGCTTTTTACGGCTTTCCTTAGTTGACCAATTTATGCGACTCATGGAAGGATCAATTACAGGAATGATGGATTGTAGTTGGTCAATTAATTGTTCAGCAGTAGCAGCAGAGATTATGATTTGTCGTGCAGAAGATGTTAGAAATTCTTGTTCCACAGCATGATCAAGAAAAGACAACAACTTATCATAATAACCATTAACATTTAACAAACCTATGGGTTTATGGTGAATGTGCAGTTGAGCCCAAGAGGAAATATGAAAGATCTCTTCCAATGTGCCTAGAGCACCTGGTAAAGCAATGAAGGCATCAGCATGGTTAAACATTGCATTCATTCGAGCTGACATTGTGGAGACCTGATGTTCCTCTCTAATTTTTTTTCCAATGATGTCCCCTTGTGCTAAAGCTTCGGGAACATCCCCCAAAACTTGATTACCTCTTAAAAATGCAGCTATTGACACACCTCCTATTAACCCAAGACTACCTCCCCTATACACTAAATGAATCTTTCTCTCAGCTAGCACTTGACCAAGATGATTTGCTGATTCTAAAAACTCATTTTCTTTCCCAAGACTAGATCCACCGAAAACACAAATACTTTTTATTTGATTACTTGAGGAACTTGCCATTTCTACACACTTCTGTATTTGTTGAATGTATGGGTTGAGTAGAAATGAAAGGAAGGAAGAGAGGATTTTATGGATGAGAAATTAGAAAGGAAATCATACCACCTATATGTAGGCCAGCTAGAGTCTCACACAATCTCTCTGTCTCTCTCTTTATTTATTTATTTACTTTTGAAAAAGCGTGTATGTACAGGTAGTTGTGATTGTGGCTCACATCTTCCCTTGGTTTTATGTCCAAGAACGGCTTAAACGTCCTCTATAGGTCGGGGATAGGCTTCCCATCCAGTTTTCTTAAAAACTGGCAAATAGGGTCTTTTTTAGTCAGATTCCCAAGACTAAGTCGATCATGTTCTTTATGAAATAGTGGCCATAAATCATGAATTGCACAATGCACATCTCCACTAGGATGCGTTTCAAGAGTCAATAGAAGATTATCTACAGACTCCTTACTCAGGCCATCCTTAATGAATTGTATTTTATCTTCACGCTTTATAGATACCATTCCTAAAGAACGACATTGTGCATTACAAGTCCATCTAGCACATCGATGACAGACTTTCAGTCGTTTTGCACGACGTTTCTTTGCAAAAGTGCTTTTACCTGTTCTAGGCATGTGTGAAATGAAGAAGTTAGAGGACTCACCTGATAATCGGACCTTTGCTTCAATCAACCAACGAATATCTTCAGGAATTCCATGATTCATTAACAATCTCAATCTTGCACATCTAGCACGGTAAATTTTTGTAATCGCATTCTGAG